AAAAAAGTTAGGTTTGGCCGGGGTTGGAACGGGATTTATACGGGAATCTTCCAGGATTTAGCAAGGATTTTAGCAGTATTATATGGGATTCTGAATTGTGAAGAAGCACCCTTTGAAGCGTGATCCTTGGTGTTTCTATGAGAAGTGGGAGAACACGCTACCTCAAGAAGAAAAAGCTGTGATGGGTCCCGCACTGCCTTATATCCCTGACACTCAACCTCAGACACAGAACCAGACAACCACCTAGCCTCTTTGGGGGTAAGCCTACAACACGAACCCTCATGACAGTGCTCCACATCACAAGGCATGGCATCACTACCAGGCAAGTGCTCCACACTCACTTGGGGATGCCCATCGTGCTGTCCTGCTGCCGCTCCGGAGCCGGTGGCTTGTGGATCTTCTTGCTGTCCGAGGCCTGGCTCTGAAGGGACAGGTTCTCCACCTGGGTGCGCAAATCCTGGATGATCTTCATCATCTCGGCCTTGCTCATCCCCTCCTCGCCAGCAGCCTCGGAGGCGTATCCCTTCGTCTTGTGAGCGCGCAGCTTGAGGCTCAAATCGTGCCCGGGGCTGTGCTCCGACTCCAGGTTCTTGGACAACAACACCGGCAGCGTCAGCGGGCCCATGGTCTCCAGGCCAGCTTTGAGGAGTTCGGGGTTGGTCTCGCCCGGATTCGGCACATGTCCTTCGCGGATGCTCCAGAAGGCAAACATGACCAGGCGATGGTCCGCATCGCCCTTCTTCATGCACTCGCCGACCGCCCAAGTGCTGTAGCTCGGATTGGTGATGATGATCTCCTCGTAGCTCAGGCCCTTGTGCTTGCCGAAGTCGATGACGGTGTTCGAGGGGGCCGTGGTCATGTACTCCTGGCGGAGTCGGATCTTGATCTCGCCCATGGTGACCTTGCTTGGAAAGGGCACGCCCATCTCCTTGGCCAAGTCCTGCGTCTCGCGGAGGTTGGCTCGATGGATCTTCACCATGAGCTCGTCGCGGTTCGTGCGGGAGCTGGCATAGCCGTGCTGCTCGCGGACCTGTCGGACCCAGATCCTGAGCTCTGGAACGGTCATCCCGGTTGGGATCACCTGGCCAAAGGAGGCAAGTTCCGTCTCGCACTCTGCTTTGTTCAGAATTCCTGCTGCTTTGATGCCTGATGTTGGCACTCCCTGAGTCTTGGCTGAGGCTTCCTTGCTGGACATGTTCGGACACACGCGGGGAAAGCCTGGGATTACAAGGGGAGTTACCTAACAGGTTCGGGCAAAGGCTGCAAGTATGGTGCTGATTTTCAACTGCTCCAACAAACGGTCCAACAACATGGTGTCTGTCATGTGCAACATGGCCCTCAAAATTACGCACAACAAGACTGGACATGTTGGAATGGTCCGCTATGGAGTCCTGCTGCTTCGGCTCAAGCTGTTGTGCCGGGCACACCAAAAACTTCGAGTTTTCGAACGACCGAGGTGAACCCGAATGCAATCCCGGCCGGGCCCCGCTCCTTCCTCTCCTCCCGAGCTCCTGTTGCCTGACTCGCCTGTCTCGTGTGGTCGGGTAGGGCAATCGCTTGACTTTCCCGGCAGGGACGCTGCCACCGCGAGGGAGCGAGGGGGTTGTCGAAAACTATCACTATACTTGGCATGCCGAGAGTACCTGCTAAAATTCTTTCCTCACACTCAGAGGCTGGGACGCCAATCCTTCGGACTGGCTCGCTCAAAGGAAAACTGTTCTGCATGAAATCCTGGGCCAACGGAAGAATTTGGTGACCAGTTGTGGTCGTCTCTAAGGCGACACACTTCTGGAAATTGATCCCCGCAAAAACTGCTTGGTCATTGCCATAGTCGACTATGGCCTTCATCCTCCTGAGGGTGTCGACGCTGAGCAAGACCGGAACGGTCCCTTTGTCGCGCGCGTGTACTCGCAGCTTGACGCCACACTCCTTGACGGGAAGCTGCAACAAGCATGTCGAGGAACATCGAGCGGACTCCGAGTCGGCAAAGTTGAAGCGCGGCTGGTCCGAGGTGTCCACAGAGACCACGTTGTCAACCTCCTGGTTGGTGAGGCTGGCCTCCGGCATACTCCAGGGCCGTGATGGAGCCCATGGTCCGTGTCGCGCCTCCGTCCAGCACGCCATAACCAGCTCGCATGGCCTCCTGCGTGGTCATCTTTCCGTCGCGGCTCTCCGAGGCCAACGCCGCGTTCTCGTACTCGTGCTCGCCAAAGAGGGTGGTCTCGGTGTAGAAGACGAGGTCGGCCTGCTCCTCCGCGGTCATGGCCTTGTCCTGCCTGCTGTCCCGCCCTTTTGGGCAGTTTCGAGTCGGATGATCGAGCCCGCGCCGAAGACATGGACCGCCGCCACCTCCTTGATGGCCCTTTCCGCTCGAAGAGCGCCCTCGAGGCTGGCCCTTTCCCCGGCCCTTCTGGCCAAAGAACTTTCGGCCCACACGCACCTCTCTCTGCTTCTCGCGGGCTTCCCGCAAGGTGCGCCGGCCTTCTTGGATCTGAGCCCAAGCTTCGTGTTCTTCACGGCACGCTTCCTGGAAGAGGGCTGCCGTCTCGGGGTCCCAGTCCTCGAAGTACTCGTCCGCCCACTCGTTCGGGGGCTCGTCGAAGAGCTCGTCATCACCGTTGGCCTGGTGCTTGTCGGTCCCGTCGCGGCGACGAAGCTGGTCATCTGTCCAGTGTGCTCGCAAGGAGTTCTCGACGGCCTGCAAGCGCTCCAAGGTGTCAAGGCCTGCCTTCTCGAGCAGCAACCAACCTTTGATCACGTCCGGGAGGATCTCGATCATCTCCTCCTCGTCCTCGGAGTCGGCATGTCGACGCCAGTCGGCCTGCGACCAGCTGTCGCGCCAGGATCCGCTCCACTGAGGTCCGCTCCACGAAGACCAGTTCCAGCCGTAGTGCCGCCAAGGGTCGTCGTCCTGGTCGTCTGGTGGCGTGCCGGCTGCACTGGCCCCAGCCGCGCTGCCTCACTCTGGCGCAGCTGTGGTCTGCTCTGCCTGGACCTCGGGCCCCGGCCCTGACGTAGCTGCCGAAGGTGGTCGTCCGTGCCAACTTCCTCGGCGGCCAAAACTGTTGGGCAACACCTTGCCGTCCTTTGCCAAACCCTGATCTTGGAGCATCCGAGTCAGAGCGCGGCAAGCCTTCTCGTACTCCTCCCGGTGTCGAATGCAGAAGCTGGTGATGGTTTCTCCCCGCTTCCGCCGCAACGTCTTGAAGTAGCCACGCAGTGCGTTGCCCACTTCTGGCAGCACTGGCTCTGAAACCACTTCCTGAAGGTGACGAAGGAGTCGCTGAACGCCATCATCGCTTGCCAGCCAAGATGCCTTCTTGTTGGCGACGGCTGCCTTGGCTGCTCCTGAGAGTTCGGCGGCAAGTCGCGGACCACAAAGGTAACGGCTCTCCCACTTGGTGGCCTGCACATAGAGAAGTGCCGCCCTCCGGTACTCCTCCCATGTTGCAGGCTCCCCCGACCAAGTCGGGACTCCGTCTCGGGTCCTGCCCACTGTCATCGCTGCAGAGCGCCCGTGCAAACAAGGGAACTCCGAAAGAAGAAACCCTGGCTTGATACAAACCAGCTCCAGGTATCAGCGAAGTCTGTGCCCTGGACGCCCCACCCCTCACACTGAGTCTATGGGTGAGGCTCCGCTACCATGCAAGCCCCCAGGCCTGCACGGTAGCTCCACAGCGAGCGGCTTCCCAGAAGAGCGCCGATTTTTCCCGCCAGCAGATGCTGCTATGGCTCAAAGGCACTCCGAAAGGAAACTAGGCTACGTCAGGGCCGAGGCACAGCTGCGGTGACAGGAACTCGTCTGACCTGAGCACAGCAAATGCCCCGAAGTGCTTTCAGCACTTGCAAGGGGTATATAGGGTTTAGGGATTAGGGTTATATAGGGCTGACAGGGTGAGGGACCCTACCCCCAAATGATAGAGAGGCAAACGCATATGTAGATATAGAATTTTCTAGGGTTGATGGCAAAAAAATCCAGTAGTACCCAAAGTACCTTATACCGCGTGTGCTATTCGTAACAACAGTAGGTCTACAACTTGCCACTGCAGGGCGGAAATTGAGCAGGGCAGTGTCAAGCAGGTCGTCCTCATGCTGAGAGTGGAAACTCTTCTAGGTCGCAAAATCAGATGTGCGCACCTAAATGAATAACCCCATTGTAGACCATAGAGCCCCTAGACCCCTTAGTAGATCCCAGAACCCTTAACAGGGCCCAAGTAAGTGTTCCAACCCTGCATACCTGAATCCAAACTCATCTACTTTCCTAACCCTCTACCTACCATGCCAAGTTACGCGAAATTATGGCCTAGTGGTTGCCCAAAGTCATAGTTTACTGGCGTTCAAGGTAAATCTTCAATCCTTGAATCCTATTACTATTACTATTGCTATTACCATTACTATTACTACTATTACCATAATTATTACACTTGCTTTTCCAGTTACTATTCCTATTACTACTATTACCATTACTATTACACTTACTTTGCTTAAGTTACTAAACCCTAAACCTAAACCCTATAAACCCTAAACCCTAAAGCCAGTGCTGGAGGATCGGGAGTGGCTGGTGCGGTACACAGCGGTGCAGGCGCTTTTTGCTCCGGGCGGGGGGTTCAGGGATTTGGCAGTTTCCATAAATTAGGGGGACCCCAATATATACCCCAAGATACTATAGTGCTTATTATCAGGATCCCCAAGAAAGGTACCCTTTGTTTTGGGGAACCCCATTTACCAGTGCAACTTAGGCCCCCTAACCGCAAATCGTAAGCACAATATTGCACTCATTTCAAGTTCGGCGCTCTCTTCAACATGTCTTGATGGCTGCTTAGACAGTTTCGGGCTACTTTTTTGGGAGCCTCTCTTAAATGTATTCCGTTTTAGGGGCTCTAAAGGAATACGAAGCTTTCGAACCTTATGCCCATAAAGACATTAAGAGGTTTCAGGCTCACAATTCCCTATCTTTGCTGCTTGCCTCGGAGACTTGTCCTATCAGACTTCACAAGCTGAAGCCCGGAGGCTCAGAAGCCTGAACATCCGTCCCAACAACCCCAAACCCTAAACCCTAAATCCTAAACCCTAAACCCCAAATCCCCCTATAAGGCTCCAGAGATCCTTTATGATTGGATCCCTCGTCAAACCACCCCCAAGCCTTCAGAAACCCTCAGATATATTTCTTCCTCGTACTTCCACTAAGTACTCAAAATTGGCACTAGGCCCCGCCGGGTCATATTCCCAGCGGTTTTTGAGGAATACATGGCCTATGTTGGAGCCATAGCTTGGACTAATGATAACTTAGACTCATGGGGCATAGCTTGGACTAATGGGCCCATGGCTAGAACTATTGGGACGAGGCTTGGACTAATGGGGCGATGATCATTTGAATCAGAACTCCCCACACCCTTGGACTAAAAGGGCATAGCTTGAACTAATGAGGCGTAGCTTGAACTGACGGGGCGTAGCTCTGACTAATGGGCCGTAGCTAGGACTACTAGGGCTCAGCTTGGACTAACGGGAAGAAGCACTTCTATCTCAAATTCCTCAAACCCCACCGGGACTATGACCCAGCGGGCCCTACTAGTACTTATTGGTACTAGACCTGAGGGACACTTATCCCTTCCAAGCGGGTTTCTTGCAATGGGGGTTTTGGGTTTTTGGGTTTAGGCTTTAGGGTTTAGTTCTTTTTGTTTCTGGTGTCCCTATGGTTACGAGGACTCCATTACTACAGAGAGTGCAACATTGTTCTGGCAACTTAGTTTGAGTTCCTTCACGGCAACCCTAAGTCCCTAAACCCTAAACCCCAAACCCTAAACCCGAAGCCCCTAAACCCTAAACCGTAAACCCCAAACCCTAAACCCTAAACCCATGATCCTTCACCCAGCTCCTAAGCTCGAGATTCGTTCTGCGAGGCCCTTCCGCAGGTGGCCTGAGCCTTACGCACCTGTTGCGTTTGAGGTTTAAGACCAGGGGTTCGCGTAAATTGTGTTATATTGGGGATATATTGGAGGTTATATAGGGATAATGGACAAAGAACATGGAGCTATCATATTATAGGATAATCAGGGTTGGGCTTAGGACTTTGGGTTGGGGTTTAGGACTTAGGGCTCGGGGTTTGGGGTTTAGGGCCCAGGGTTTGGGGTTTAGGGCTTAGGGTTTTGGGTTTAGGCCTTAGGGCTTGGGGTTTAGGGCTTAGGGTTTGGGGTTTAGGGCTTACGGCTTGGGGTTTAGGGCTTAGGGTTTGAGGTTTGCTCATCGCCCCTAATGTGCTAAAGCCTTAACTCCAACTCCTAAACCCTAAGCCACCCTTTCGAGATGGGTTACCATATGAGGGTCACTCCGGTGCAAACCCTAAACCAGTTAGCTTCAAACCCTAAGCTCATACCCTGAAGCCTAATCTCGTACCCTGAACCTGTGGGCAACAAGACTGTTTAGGGTTTAGGGTATGGTCCCCCTTAAGTAGATAGAATATGGGACATAGGGGGATCTTATTATAATTTGCCCAAAGCCATCTTCTATCTACTTAATCGGGGACTACAGATACAAGCTGAGGTGGACACCGGGGATGCGCGAGCGATCGCGGTCCTTATTAACATGCTCGGCGACAAGGAGCTTATCTCCAAAGCTTGCGTTCATGGTGTATACGAAAATCCTGCAAGACTCTAAGTACCTTAAACTTTGGTACGTGTGGTACTCCAGTATAAGAAGATCATGCAGGAGTTTCAGTATCAACAGAATGTCTGTCCTCTGGGCCTGGGGGTCCCCTTTGACAAGACATTCATGCAGGGGTTCTATGGAAAGATGAATGAAGTGTATGGGATTCTGAAAGATGCGGTTTCTCTCAGATTTGAGTCTGAGTATTGTGGCAAACCCTAAACCCTAGACCCCTTCACCCCCCATACTCTAAGTCTATATCCCTATGGCCCCTCTATTTTGGGAAGCCTCCACATGCTCTCTTCAGTAAATCCGAGTGGAACACCGGGACCGCATTGAACCGCACACCTGCAGGGGTTTTGGAGTTCAGCGTGTAGGGGTTTAGGGTTTACAGTTCAAGGGGTTCTGGAGTTTAGGGTGCAGTTTTTTTGGCTTTAGGGATTCAGGGTCTGTGGGCTTAGGGTGCACGGGTTTACTGGTTTAGGGGTGTAGAGTGTCTGATTTAGGGTCCCAATGGCTTAGGGGTTTAGGGTGTAGGGTAGGGTTTAGGGTTGCCAAGGCCATGAAACCCTCAGCTGAGAGTGCAAACGCTATCGTAGAAGCCTCAGTCGTTGCCAACATTGTTTCCGCGCAATCTTTCTATCATGGAAGCATAGTACATTTCCAAAGTCTATTTTACTTAAATAGGCTCCGACATATGATCCCTATAAACCCGATTCAAGACCCAGTGTCCCTTTGATTCTCTGCTTTCTTGATTTTGTTATTCTCCAAGGTTCATTTCTCTAATTATTTAGGGCCTTACATTAAACCTAAACGTCCCAAAATCCTTTGTATCATGTCTCTGAACCGCCAAAGGATGGTTCAGGGCTATCAAGTGGATCAGCAGCACATGAACAACCCTAAACCATCGCAAGCCAGACTTGTGGAGGAAAGGTTCCGACAACAAAGAGTAATAGTAGTAATAACAATGATAATAGTAATAACAGTAATTATATAAATTGTGGTAATTCTAGTAAGATTCTAGTAATGATAGTAATAATACTGATAATAGTAATAACAGTAATTATAGTAATTATAGTAATTAATATTAATAGCAATACTAGTTAGAGGCCTCAAGCCTGAACCGCCCAAAAATCTTCGGGACGCGAGGACCACCAGGTTCGGAATGCTGCAGTGGAGTCACTCTCCGAGGTTTGCGGAAGGATTCAGGGCTTCGGGCATGGCATTTAGGGCGAGAGATTGGGAGTTGGGGTCGAATATTTGGCGATGTAGGATTTAAGGTTGCAGTTAAAGTTTCAGGGTATTGGGGATAGATCTAGTGAGTCTGGTGCGTTGTGGTGATTTTTTGTTCATGTGCCCCAAGCGCCATGTTTTTTAGCAGGCTTCTCCAAGGTGAGGGGTAGAGTCAGTACAGAAGCACGAACGTTTCGTATGGGGGTTGGGGCCAGAAGCCTGACTATATTGTGGATACCAAGTAGAGCCCTTCATGACCCCAATGTACTAGAATGCAACCTAGAAGGTAATTAAGGTCATGCAGATGTTTTGTGTGAAGCATAGTGTTCTCATTTACTTACAGAACGGGACGCATTGCAGCAGGCGTTACCGTAAGCATTCAGCGGACACAGCCACAGCCACCGCAACAAGCTCCATGACCGCGACGCATTCTAAGCACGACAACGAGGATAAGAGCCTGCACAAAAGAAAGCACCAGTTTTTCGTGGGCAATAAGACGTGACCAGGGTGAGTTCTGACCACCACAAACTTGAAGAAAACGGCGACTCATAAACACGCGGCATGACTATGACGGCCACGACGACTACGGTGACCATGACAACCATGACAACGATCAACATTACCGCT